TTTTTTTTTTCTTGTATAAAAATAAAAATCAAATTAAAATTTTATCTAATCACCCATAAGTCTCAAATTTCATGCTTGCAACTTAGAATGAAAAAATGAAACTCCAGCCAAAAAAGAAAAAAGGAAAAAGAAGAAAGAGTGGAATAATGTTGGGTTCACTTATATGGTGGTGTCACGTTGGACCGTGGCAAAAGGAGCAGATGTGTGCGTTCTGAAATTAGCAGCAAATGAAAGAAAAAGATGTGTGTGTTTCAGAGTTTTCTGACTTTTGCAGATTTTATTTATTACACCACAGGCACATGGACCACACAACACTTGTAAATTTCTGTTTCACTGTCCAAAAATATAATTATCGTACTGTTTTTGCAGGCCAAACCCACTGCATCTCAACCTTTGTGTGGACTATTACTGACTCGTTTGTCAGCATTTTGAAATGATGCCAGTTCATGTGTAATAAATTTTTTATTTAATTTCCACCATATATATATATTATCTATTTTTTTTTAAATGTGGGTAGATTAAGGAAAATTTCACCTCCCCGTAGACATGGTCGTGGGCCGAACCGACCCGTAATAGGGCAGTTAAACGAACCGGAACCCTGGATGTGCGGTTCAGTTCCGGTTCTCCCTTTTTTTTGGGTCCCGGCGGTTCAGGCCGAGTCGCAAGTTGAGCGTCGGGCGTCTTTAAAAAAAAAATCGCAGTTCAGTCCGTCCGACCTGACTCGAACCGAACCGCGCAATTCTAACATTGTCTGCCAAACTTGTTGGGCACGTCTGGGCCACGGTTCGGGCCAGTTCAGGTCGGGCCCAATAGTCGAAAAAAAAATAATGGTCGTTGGATGATGCTGACCGTTGAGATCCAACAGCCCACAGTGCCCCACCCGCCGGGGCGACCCGAACCTGGCGGGACAGAAAAAAACCGAAAAGAATTCATATAAATACCCCCCCTCCCCAAACTCATTTTTGACACTCAAAACCATCTCTTCTCTTCTCTCTCTCTCTCTCTCTCTCTCTCTCTCTTAATTATCTATCTCTCTTCTCCCTCCCTAAGTGTACGGGTTTTAGTGCTCGGTTTATAGTTTTGTGTTCGGTTTCCAAGAAAAAAATCCCATCCCCCATTTTTTTTAGTTTCATTACATTCTACATTATTTTTTCCTATTTCATATTTTGTTCTTTAAATTATAAACTGTCGAGTTCTCGTGGTGGTGGTCGTGGTTCGAACTCCGGACAAAAACGTAGAGATGTCAGCACGTCTTCTTCGAGACCTCCATTGCCAGAATTTGCGAGTTCATCGATACATCTGGATATTTCCACTGAAGGCGATGAAATTGATGACGCAACAATCGATCGCATGTTTGTCTCAATTCAGCATGAGCATCAAGAGCCCCAACAGCCATATCAGTCTTCTACCAGAGTATCAAAGGCTGTTTTTGTCACCAAAGAAGAAGAGCAATAGGAATCATGGCAGGAGATAATTCGAAGAAGAACTTGACAAAGGAGATGGATGCGGAGTGGGCTCGGAGGTCCTTCGGGACAGGTCCCCTACCAGGATGGTCACCATCGCCTGTCACCCCCAAAGAGACGCTGTTGGGCCCAAACGTGACCCCGACACTACCACCAGATGCTCAGGGGCACGCGGCGAACCCAGGGGGATCGGGTGGTATGGCGAACAAAGGGAAAGAGGTTGGCACCCCGATCGATGAGGGAGTGAACCAGGACGTTTTGAGACCTGGGGGTGCTAGTGGTCAGAATGGCTCGCTGGGCAACGGGCAGGTGGTCGTAGTAGGAGGACAAAACCCTCCGGGGGACAATGTTTCTTCAGCACCACAGAGAGATCCGGTTATTCAGATGACCAGGTCAGAGTTAGATAGGATCATTGCTGAAGCGATAGGCCGAGCTCAAGAGGTGGACAGGAGAGCTCCTAATGAATTGTTGCGACAACCTCCACCGCATCAACCACATGCCTCTCAGCAGCAGCCCCCCACGCATCAGCAGCAACACCAATGTTTGGTGAGGGGCGATGATAATGATGCTAGGTCGGTGACCTTCCACCCGGCCGCAACAACGCAGTCGGATGGGTTAACCTTGGAGAGGTTGGTGGCTCAGATGAAGGAACTCCAAGCTCGGGTCCAGGGTAAGAGACCTACAGTTTCACGAGGACACCCTTTCGCTGAGGATGTCTTAGGAGGGGATTTGCCTAGCAACTTCAGGGAGCTGAGTTTGTCCTACGATGGATCGGCAGACCCAGCTAGGCATCTAAGGTCGTTTGAAAACATAGCCGTTCTGCACAGATATAGCGATGCTGTGAGTTGCCAAGCCTTTTTGACGACCTTAAAGGGGTTGGCACAAGATTGGTTCCACCAGCTGCCAGCGGGATCTATCTATTGCTTTGAGAAGTTCAGCTCTCTGTTTCTGAATCAGTTCGCGAGTGCCAGGAAGCATGAGAAGACGTACCTCTCATTGATTAATATGCAGCAGAAGGAAGGGGAGACTTTGCGGCAATATGTAGCGCAGTATACCAAGGAGTGCGTGGAGGTCCCCTCTGCCTCGGAAGAGATCAAAGTTGGAGGTCTTACGCGGAGATTGAGACCTGGGAAATGCAGTGATTCATTGGCAAAGAGGCCAGCAAGGTCCTTCGACGAGCTACTCGAGACGTGTAGCAAATATGTGAACATGGAGGAATCAGAGGCGGACTTCATCTGAAATGACAAAACGAAGGCCAAGCAGGTAGAGGAGAGGCCTCGACAGGGTGATCGATGAGCTGCCCCGAAGGAGTCCAGGGTCGAAGAACGGTTTAGGGGTCCGAGATATGAACGTTACAAGATACTTAACGCACCACAACAGGAGATTCTGGAGATGATGAAAAAGCGGAAGGAGGACAAGCTTCTCGCACAACCAAAGCCTCTACCCCACCGCGGAAATTTTCGGCATCAAATGATAGATATTATCGATACCGCCGCGATTATGGTCACTCTACCAATTTCTGCCGAGAATTGAAGGACGAGATTGAGCGGCTCATTAGGGTTGGTCATTTAAAGGAGTTCGTGATCAAGGATAGAGAGCACCAGGAAGATCGCCGGGAAGAGCGTGAAACGGGTGACAAGCGGAGGAGGACTGATGAGCAACCTGATAGACCAGTTAAGAAAGGCATAATACACATGGTCGCGGGAGGTCCTACAGATGGAGATACGCATAGGGAGAGGAAGAGGACCTATCGGGGAAAGGGTGTTGCCAATGAGGTGGCCGAGGTGCAGGTGCAGAGGTGCTCGGCCATTCTGGAATTTGGAGCTGACGATGTGCAGGGGCTTGTTGTCCCACATAATGATGCTTTGGTCCTCACTGCGGAGGTAGCCAGTTACGACGTGCAAAGGGTGCTCATAGACACGGGAAGCTCGGCGGACATTATTTTCCTGAATTGCTTACAACAGATGGAGTTAGAGGTGAAGGTCGAACTGATCCACACTGCTCTCTATGGCTTCAGCGGCAGTGAGGTTCGCCCCGTGGGTGAAGTTAGCTTGAAGGTGGCGTTGGGAAGGTCACCTTTGAGGAAGGTGAAGATGGCTCGCTTCCTGGTCGTGGATGCTAGCTCGGCCTACAACATCATACTGAGGCAGCCTAGCTTGAATTCATTCCAGGCAGCCATTTCCACTTATTGTATGAAGATCAAGTTACCTGTAGGGGA